TGTGGTTGTGGGGAAAAAAAACCATTTAAGGAAGTTTGTTTCCAATTTGTTGGGGCATGGTTACGGGGGAAAAAACTGGCCTTGGGGCTTTGGTTCTTGCTTTTCCCATCACGGGGAAAAAAACAAAGAATGCTTTTGTCTTTTTTCATGTTTGATGTGCCATTTTGGAACTTTTTTGTTGCTTTTTTCAAAAAAAAAAAAAAACTGCGAACCCCCCAACCGAGGATGAAGCTTGTTTTTTTTTGCCAGGGCTGGCTTCTTGAGCCAAAACCCCCAACAGGCCTTGGCGGAGAGGATGGGGCCGCTTCCGCTTTTACGTAACCGTTCAGGGGGCTGCTTTCCTTTTTTCTTTTCTCAGGGGGGGAAAAAACTGGCATTGCAAAAAAACTAACAAAAAACCCAATTTTTTCCACATGTTTTTTTTTCCATTGGAGGCTTCCAAACAGCCAGAAAAACCCCAGAAAGCACCAAGCTTGAAGGAAAAGAGGAAACAATTGTGAAAAAAGCCCAGGGCCAAGGGCCCCTGGATTTAAGGGAAAGGGAAGGGGCCAAAAAAAAGCCATGGGCCTTGCCTACGGGTGGGGCCAGGGGAAACAGCCCAAAGGAAAAACCCTAGGGTCTAGTTGGGCGTCAAAGGCCCCAAATGACAAAAAAGGCTTTCGGAAAAGAGGAAGATTGGAAAAAGTGTGGTTTCGGATTCCACATTCAAAAAACAAGGGCCTGTTGCCAAAAGGGCAAAGAAGGCCCCAGGAAGAAGCACCGGGAAGCCATGAGAGGGAACTTTGGTGTCCCCTTTCCGAAGGCGGGCCCAGGGGAAAAAGGAGGTTCCCGGGAAAAAGGGAGAGGCAAGCCCCAAGGAAAAAAGGCTGGGCTTTCTCCCCCAGGGAGGGGAGGAGGGCAATCGGCCCCGTTTTCCCCCGTGGGCTTTTTGAAAGGTTTTGCCCACCCAAAAAAGGCAAGCTGTTGCTGGGCATTTAAAAAAGCCCCAAACCCCCTGGCTGCCATTGTTGGGAAGGGGTGGGAGAGGTTTGGAGGGTGGGTGGGCAAGTGAAGGGGCCTGGAGGGCAAGGGAGACCAGGGCTTGGGGGAGGTTTTGGGCCCCCAGCAGGATTTTTCCCAGGGCTGGAGGTGGGTGGGAGGGGAGAAGAACATCCAAGGGAAGGGAACTTTAGGGGGAAAGAGAGTGGGGGACCCACCACTTCTGAGGGGCTTTTGGGGCCAAAAAGTGGCTGGGGGCCCCAGGCCCCATGAAACCACTTCCCCCCCCCAGTTTTCTTGGCCTTGGGGGGAAAGGGGCGGTTTCCTTCAGGCCTGTTTGGGGGCAAAGGATAGGCGCCCCAAAATGAGAAAAAAGACGCCCAAAAGGAAAGGACCCCCCCCCAGTTTGCCAGGGGAGTTTGCCAGGGGAAGGCCCAAGGGCCTGGAGGGGGGGGCCTGTTTTTTGCTTCAAAAGAAAGAAAAAGAGGGCAGTGCTTGGAGGAGGGGAAAGAGGACAACCTGGGGCGTTGGGGCCTTGGGGGGGAGGGGGAGAGGGAGGAGGGATTTCGGGGAAAGACAGAAAAGGCCAGGGGGGAGGAGCATGGAGAAAGGGTGAGATTGTTGCCTAAGAATCATTTTTCTGCTTTCCTGGGCACTTTATGTTTTGCGATGCTCTGTTTCCGGTCTGGAAAAACTTGGAAGACTGAAGGTGACTTTCCAATGTCCCCCGTTTACATGGTCTGTCCCAGCTCCAGAAGATGGAAACCGGAGGCCACCACCCAAACTGGTGCCCTCCCCAGGACCCCCGAGCTTCCAGCAAGCCTCGCCTGGGGAGCTGACCGTGACAGACGCCACCCCCGAACTCCCTGAGCCTGACCTGGACGTCCCGAGGGCAGTTTGACCACTTCCTGGTCCAGTACAAGAACGGGGATGGGCAGCCCAAGGTGGTGCGGGTGCCGGGCACGAGGACAGGGTCACCATCTCAGGCCTGGAGCCAGACCACAAGTACAAGATGAACCTGTACGGCTTCCACGGGGCCAGCGCGTGGGCCCGTCTCTGCCGTCGGGTGACGGGTGAGTGCGTGGTGGGAGCCAGCTGGGACCCAGTGGGAGCTTCACCTTCTCTCTGCTGGTGGGTGAACGGGCCCAGGCGCCCCTCTGCTCGGCGGAGCCCTGGTACCCTTCGTGCCTTGCCCTGGTCTCCCTGAGGACTGGCAGGCCTCCTGGGCAGAGAAGGACCCTGTGTGCCGTGCTGGTGGCTGTCCCAGCTCCCCGAGGCTGACCCTGGAGCTTGGGCGGTTTGCTAGCTGTCAGCAAGCAGGACCACTCAGCCCAAGGGTAGGCTTGTCTGAACTGACCTCAGGACGCCCCTGGTGGCCATGGCTTCTCCCTCCTCCTCCCCAAGACTGAGGACATCCCCAGGGACCCTGCCTCCCTCTCTCTGTGCCTGTTTCTCAGCTTGTGGAGGAGAGACGCTGCCCCCACAGAGGTGAGGAGACCCCAGCCCCCAGAACCCAGCACGGGCCCAGAGCCCTGGAGAGCGCGCTCCTGGGGGGAGCTGACTGTGACAGCTCGTCCCCGGACTCCCTGAGCCTCTCCTGGACCGTCCCCCAGGCCACTTCGACTCCTTCAGCATCCAGTACAAGGACAGGGACGGCGGCCCAGGCAGTGCGTGTCGGGGGTGAGGAGAGAGCGGTGACCGTGGGCGGCCTGGAGCCCGGGCGCAAGTACAAGATGCACCTGTACGGGGCTCCGCGAGGCTGCGCTGGGCCCGCCTCCGCTGGGTGTGACAGGTGAGTGCGGGGTGGGCCGGTGGTTAGACAGGCCTCCGGAGAAAATTAGCCGGGCATGGTGGTACATGCCCGTAGTCCCAGCTACTCGGGAGGCTGAGGCAGTAGGATCGCTGAGCCCCGGAGATTGAGGTTGCTGTGAGCCGGGCTGACGCCACGGCACTCACTCTAGCCTGGGGAACAAAGTGAGACTCTGTCTCAAAAAAAAAAAAATCTATCTCTGATTATGATCATCCAAGTCTCCTTGTGGTCCCTCAAACATGCCAGGTAACCTCCTAACTCAGGGCCTTTGCACTGACTGTTCCATCTACTTGAACATTCTTTCCCCAGATGTCTCCCTGGCTCATGCCCACAATCCCTTTAAGTCTTTATTCAGCCACTTTCTTTGGGGGGCCCTCCTTGACCACCCTATTTAAAATTCTGGTTTTCTCAATTGCAATGTATCTTCCTTATTTGGACCTGATTCCAGCAACAAATGCAAAACAATTACAAGACAATCAGTAGACTGTAGCACTACCTGAAAACTTGATATCAAGGAATGACTGTTCATTTTTAAAGGTATGAAAATTGTACCGTGGATTTTTAAAAATAGTCTTTTTAGAAAGAGATATAGATATCTTTTTAGATATAGATATCTTTTAGATATAGATATAGATATCTTTTTAGAAAGATATACTTAAATATTTATTCATGAAAGTATAGGGTGTCTGGGTCTAGTTTTAAAACATTGCAGTGGTATATCCAAAGAAGGCAATACTGTTTGGCAGTAAGAAGCAATGTAGGACTGCCATATGCTACAGCATGGAGAAGCCTCAAAAACATTATGCTCAGCGAAAGAAGCTAGACACAAAAGAACATATATTGTGTGATTCCCTGAAATGTCCAGAAATGGGCATATCTATGGAAGCAAAACTAGATTAGTTGTGGACTAGGGCTAAGGATGAAAGTAGGTCTGGTCTGGACCCAAGATTTCTTTTTCAGGTGATGGAAAAGTTCTAAAACTAGATTGTGGTGATGGTTGCACAACTAGGTAAATATACTAAAACTGATAAGTTAATTTTATGGCTCATTAATTATTATTATTATTATTATTTTTAGAGGCTGGATCTTGCTCTGTTACCCAGGCTGGACTGCAGTGGTGTGATCGTAGCTCACTGTAGCCTCAAACTCCTGGACTCAAGTGATCCTCCTATCTCAGCTTCCCGAGTAGCTGGGACTACAGGTGTGCAACCACATTTGGCTAAATTCTTTTTTTTGATAGAGACAGAGTCTCAGTCGGTTGCCCAGGCAGGTCTGGAGAATTATTTCTCTATAAAGCTGTTAATAAAGAAAATATTCTGGCCGGGCGCGGTGGCTCACGCCTGTAATCCTAGCTCTCTGGGAGGCCAAGGCGGGCGGATTGCTCGAGGTCAGGAGTTCGAAACCAGCCTGAGCAAGAGCAAGACCCCGTCTCTACTATAAATAGAAAGAAATTAATTGGCCAACTAATATATATACAAAAAATTAGCCGGGCATGGTGGCGAATGCCTGTAGTTCCAGCTACTTGGGAGGCTGAGGCAGGAGGATTGCTTGAGCCAGGAGTTTGAGGTTGCTATGAGCTAGGCTGACGCCATGCACTCACTCTAGCCTGGGCAACAAAGCGAGACTCTGTCTCAAAAAAAAAAAAAAAAGAAAGAAAACATTCTAATGGGGAAAGGTGGGAAGTGGGTGGGACAGAAAGGAGCCAATCTGTCCAGAAGCTGGTATTTGGTTGAAGCAGGAGGATGGGTATATGAGAAGTTGTTATACGATTTTTTTGTTTTGTGTATATGTTTGAAATTTGTTTAATAAATATCTGTTGAATGAATTAATTGGTACTTCAAAACTGTGTCCTGATTTCACAGAAGAGTTCACTCTAGAGTTCCAAGGAAAAGCAGAGAGCCATAAACCAACACTGAATTACCTCCAGAGAGGTCTTGTCCCTTGGGGCCTCTCTCAGCTGGGTCTGGCCCGTCTCTGGGATTCGCTCTCCCTGCCCCCAGATCATGCCTGTCTGAGGCCTTAGTGGTCTGCAGGTAGCTTAGAGGCTTGAAGCCTTGGAGTCCTGGGTCTCCAGTGGAGGAGACACTAGAGGCTGCAATTTCCTAAGACTCAACCCACGGAGCCCCTTAGCCCCACTCACCTGTCACACCCACGGCGGAGGCGGGGCCCACGCGCAGCCCCTCGCGGAGCCCGTACAGGTGCATCTTGTACTTGCGCCCGGGCTCCAGGCCACCCACAGTCACCGCTCTCTCCTCACCCCCGACACGCACTGCCTGGGGCCGCCCGTCCCTGTCCTTGTACTGGATGCTGAAGGAGTCGAAGTGGCCCTGGGGGACGGTCCAGGAGAGGCTCAGGGAGTCCAGGGACGACGCTGTCACAGTCAGCTCCCCCAGGAGCGGCTCCTCCAGGGGCTCTGGGGCCTCCGTGCTGGGTTCTGGGGGGCTGGGGGTCTCCTCCACCTCTGTGGGGGCAGCGGTCTCTTCCTCCACAGCTGAGAAACAGGCACAGAGAGAGGGAGGCAGGGTCCCTGGGGATGTCCTCAGTCTTGGGGAGGAGGAGGGAGAAGCCATGGCCACCAGGGGCGTCCTGAGGTCAGTTCAGACAAGCCCACCCTTGGGCTGAGTGGTCCTGCTTGGCTGACAGCTAGCAAACCTGCCCAAGCTCCAGGGTCAGCCTCGGGGGAGCTGGGACAGCCACCAGCACGGCACACAGGGTCCTTCTCTGCCCAGGAGGACCTGCCAGTCCTCAGGGAGACCAGGGCAAGGCACGAAGGGTACCAGGGCTCCGCCGAGCAGAGGGGCGTCCTGGGCCCGTTCACCCACCAGCAGAGAGAAGGTGAAGCTCCCACTGGGTCCCAGCCTGGCTCCCACCACGCACTCACCCGTCACCCCGACGGCAGAGACGGGGCCCACACGCTGGCCCCCGTGGAAGCCATACAGGTTCATCTTGTACTTGTGGTCTGGCTCCAGGCCTGAGATGGTGATCCTGTCCTCGTGCCCTGGCACCCGCACCACCTTGGGCTGCCCATCCCCGTTCTTGTACTGGACCAGGAAGTGGTCAAACTGGCCCTCGGGGACCGTCCAGGTCAGGCTCAGGGAGTCGGGGGTGGCGTCCGTCACGGTCAGCTCCCCCAGGCGAGGCTTGCTGGGAAGCTCGGGGGTCCTGGAGGGAGGTTCTGAAGGCTCATCTTCCTCCTCCTGGGGGACTGAAATGAGACATGGGGGACTTAGAGAGAGGGAGGGTGTCCTTGGGCACTCTGCTCCCCTCTGGAACCCCAGCCGTCTGTATGGAGACAGAGTCGGCGAGGTCTTCTCACCTGTCTGAGCCTCGATGTGGGCAGGACCCAGGCGCTGCCCTTCACGGACACCGTACAGGGTCACCAGGTATCTGTGGCCGGACTCCAGGCCATAGAGCGTGACGTCATTCTCGTCACCCGCTGCGCCGACCACTTGGAGGCGCCCCTCTCTATCTGTGTACTGGACCTCAAAGGAGTCGAACTCTCCCTGCGGCACCCAGGAGAGATGCAGCGAGTGTGGCGTGGCCTCTTCCACCGCCAGCTCCCCCAGGCGGGGCTCAGATGCGGGAGGAGTGGGGGCTGCGGTCTCTGCTTCGATTTCTTCTCTGGGAGCTGGTTCAGAGAGACAGGCAGAGACGGATGACTGGTCTGCCGACTCACCACGACTCTCGGGAGGAGGGAAGGAGGGGAGGGAATGAAGGCAAGAAGTCAGCAATAAAAGGACCAAATTTTGATACACATGGATGAATTTTAAAAGCGTTATGCTAAGTGCGAGAGGCAGACACGAGACTGTTACGTGGTGTGATCGAAAGGCAAGACTACAAAGACAGAAAGCAGATGAGTGGTTGCCAGAGGCTGGGTGGGAAAGCTGACTGGAAATGGGCACAAGGGCACTTTTTGGGTCAATGGAGATGACATGAACGGGAAGCGCAGTGAGCTTGCAGCTCCACAGAGCAGGAGAGCCAGGTGGGAGGGAGGCAGGGCGTGTCCTGGCGCTGCACTCACCGGTCCTGGCGGTGGCAGAGATGGGGCCCACGCGCTTGCCACCGCGCAGCCCGTAGAGCAGCAGCTTGTACCTGTGGGCGGGGTCCAGGCCCGAGACGCCGACCTCCCTGAGGCTGCCCTCCACCAGCACCACCTGGGGCTGCCCGTCCCTGTCCTTGTACTGGACCACAAAGGAGTCAAACTGGCCCTCGGGGACGGTCCACGAGAGGCCCACGGAGTTCGGGGCCACGCCGGTCACCTGCAGCTCCTCCCCCAGACGGGGCTTTGGGGGGTGCTTGGTTCCAGTATCTGCAGCAGTCCGGGCCTCTGAGGTGGAGACACGCAGAGGAAACGGCTGAGCCGTTTCTGGAAGGCTGAGTGACTTTGAAGGCAGGGCCGAGAGGTATGGAGACGGGGCTTGGCAGGCTGAGCCCCATGGGGTGGCTAGGGCTGTGCAAGGGTGCGGGGAGTCGGGGCTGAGCCCGAGTGTCTGGGGCCAAACGACAGTGATGTCGGCCGGCACACGTGACCGCCTGCCGCGGGGCTCAGGGGAGCAGGGCAGGGCCCTGCAGGTGCCGATGCCCTCACCCGTGGTGCCCTCGGCAGTGAGGGGGCCGTGGCGCTTCCTGCCCAGGAGGCCGTAGAGGAGGAATCTGTACTTGCGGCCGGGACCCAGGGGGGTGATGGCGACTGAGCGCTTGCGGCCCTCCACGGGCACCACCTGGGGCCCATCCTTGTCCTTGTACTGGACCACAAAAGAGTCGAACTGGCCCTCGGGGACTGTCCAGGAGAGGCACAGCGAGTCCGAGGTGGGGTCCGTCACCCACAGCTCCCCCAGCTGGGGCGGGGCCCCCGGGCTGGCGTCGCCTCGGGCAGCTGGCAGAGAGGAAAGGTTCTTGTGTTTATTTTCTCCAAAATGACTCCTCAACTGCCTCCCTCTAGGGAGGAAAACCCCAGAACCACCCAAAAGCTCAGCCTGTGCTTCTCAAAAATACTTCCATCACCTCCCATCCTCACCACCACCCCTGCCTGGCCCCTGCTGCTCTCTGCTTGACCACAGTGGGGAGGGTCTCCCGTCCTGGTCATCTCTGGCTACAGCGAGCCCCTCGCTCCCTCCTCATCTTATCCCTCTTGCTGTCCGGCCTCTCCAGACCAGCTCCCCACAGGGCACAGCCTGTCACAGACTGGGCGCTGTCTCCTGTCACCCAGTGGCCCTGAGACACCAAGGGCACGGGCGCCTGGGGGGCAGACAGCAGGTGGGAGGAGGGACATTAAGATGCTGGTGGTTCATGCTCCTCTGTCCCCTTTCTCATTCCGCACTGGCTGGCCAGGGAGAACTGAGCCTCCCACTGGGCCTGTGCAGGCGCAGGGCCGCCTGCGTGCGGGGGGCTCAGACCGGGGGAGGCTCTGGTGTCTGCTGAGAGCCACTCCGGGCCTGTGGAGGAGCTGGCCTGCTGCCCTCCTGCCCGGTGAGGACGCTGACGGCATTGTTATTGCGAGAACATTCTGGCAACAGGGAGCCCCCAGGGCCAGGGAGGGCCTGGACTGAACCCCCGCTGGGCTCCTCTGGTTCCCAAGTTCTGAGGCTCGGGGAGGAGGGCAGTGGAGGAAGGGGAGCACCGGCAGGAGGCACACATGGGGCCAGAAAGGCCTGAGCCAGGGGAGTAAGAGCCTGAGTGGACATCACAAGGGTGAGATGGCCCGAAGGTCCAGGGAGGCAGGAAGGGCTCCTGGCTACCCTCACCTCCTCTTCCAGCACCCCAGTCTCCCTCGGTCCCTCCTCCAGGACGGGGCCTGTGGGGCTTCCCCTCCACCAGAAGCCGAAGTTAGAAGAGTGGCAAAGTCAGCAAGAAAGCAAACCCAGGAACTGGCTCATTCTTCTGGTCCTTGTCTGCTTTAGGCGGGGAGGGCCGTGGTTTTTGGAAGGAGACAGAGGAGGTGGACAGGGAAGACCGGGCAGGGGAGAAGCAGGTGCTGCGGGCCGCTCACCTGTCTTCACCTCCACAGAGACTGGGCTGTGTCGTTTCCCATCGCGGATCCCAAAGAGCAGGAACTTGTACTTGCGGGAGGGCTCCAGGCCGGGGACGGTGACCCCCCGCTGGTCCGCGGCCACCGGCACCACCTGGGGCTGCCCGTCCCTGTCCTTGTACTGGACCACGAAGGAGTCGAAGTCGCCCTCAGGGACCGTCCAGGAGAGGCCCACGGAGTCAGGGCTCGTGTCCAGCACCGTCAGCTCCCCCAGGCGGGGCTCCAGGAGGAGCTCAGACGCCTCGGTGGCAAGGGCTGGCGGGAGGGGGCCTAGGGTCCGGGAGACAGAGAGCATGGCTGAGATCTCAGAGGGGAGAGCCCCTGGGTGCTAGGGCCTCAGGGGGCTGTGAACCAAGACGGGGAACAGTCACACCTTTATTTTCAGATCTAACTGAAATGCAGCATTTCCTTAGATCAACATAGCAAACCTGCCGTGGCAGTAGTGCCATGACTGTGTTGCCAATAGACAACACAGATGTTGTCACGTTAGAGATATTGCAAAACTTTAAATGCCATTTACACTCATCACTACTTCTAAAAGTTGTAGTTTATTAAACATGCAACATGTTATGTAATGAACTAATGTCAGTCCAAGTATTACTAAATCATGAATTTGAGTTTTTAAGAAATATTTTCATAGTTGTAAATCTATATAATCGGCTTCCTTTTAAGCCTATATATTTTATTTTATAGATTTTAAAATGTTGCTCTGAGAGGGGCTACGTATTTCAATAGATGCCACTGTACAAAAGTCATGGAGTTTCCTCTTCCTAGACACGGAAAAAAGCCCCCAAATCGTGGAGAGCCTATGCCCAGGAGGCCACGAGGGGCAGGAAGGAGCGAGGAGCCAGAGAAAGGGCAGCTCCCTCGAGAGGGGACCGGCTGAGGCCCAGGCACGCAGTTCAGGCCTCATGGCTAAGGACGGACTCTGAGAAGGGATTTGGGACGTGTGCCGGTCAACACCAGTAAAAGGGCAGAGGGGAGGTGGCAGCCACATCCAAGTCACAGTAGGGTTGTAAACAGAAGAGGAGGAGGCCGGGCGCGGTGGCTCACACCTGTAACCCTAGCACTCTGGGAGCCGAAGCGGGCTGATCGCTCAAGGTCAGGAGTTTGAAACCAGCCTGAGCAAGAGCGAGACCCCGTCTCTACTATAAATAGAAAGAAATTAATTGGCCAACTAATACATATAGAAAAAATTAGCTAGGCATGGTGGCGCATGCCTGTAGTCCCAGCTACTCGGGAGGCTGAGGCAGGAGGATCACTTGAGCCCAGGAGTTTGAGGTTGCTGTGAGCTAGGCTGACGCCACGGCACTCACTCTAGCCTGGGCAACAGAGTGAGACTGTCTCAAAAAAAAAAAAGAGAAGAGGAGGAGACAGCTGTGGACAACGGCAGAGGAAAGAGAGAACGTCTGAGGCTGAATTTAGGCGGAATGGAAGCAGATGTCCCGGTGAGGGGACTGGAGACGGGGAGGGACCTGAAAGCAGGGAGGTTCCAGCCCAGGAGGAGCCACGGGTCAGGGAACAGACAAGAGGCCTGTGAGCCCGGGAAGGACGTGCAGGGCCTAGCCCTCCACGAGGGAGCAGCGGTGCCCAGGCAGGGCTGGGAGAAGGGCCGTGGGGTAGGAGCTCTGGGGACCCAGGGATAGGGACTGCCTCACCCTCACTCACCCGTCACCACTACCACTGAGAGGGGGCCCACTCGTTGCCTGCCATGGAGCCCGTAAAAGTTCATCTTGTATTTTCGTGCAGGCTCCAGGTTGGAGACGGTGACCTCCCGCTGGCCTGTGGCCACAGGCATCACCTGGGGCTGCCCGTCACTGTCCTTGTACTGGACCACGAAGGAGTCAAACTGGCCCTCAGGGACCGTCCACAGGAGGCCAACAGAGTTGGGGGTGACATCTGTCACTGTCAGCTCCCCCAGGCGCGGCTCCAGTGGGGGCTGGGTAGCAGGAGGGTTCTCTACTTCCTGTTGTGGGGCTAGGACAGAGACGGCAGGGAGCTATTAGGAAAGGACCTTCTCTCCCTTAGTAGTAATTATGTCCATTGTTTCTGTGGCACCCGTGAGGTGGTCTGGTGTAAAACTGCACTGACTGGCAGCATCTGTCTGGCCAACAATCCCTCGAGGGGTCCCTGAGTCCTGTCTGGGTCCCCTCAGACACCTGTCTGAGGGTGCGCTTGCTGGGGGAGAGGGGTGTCACTCGGCACTGAGACCCTGGCAAAGTGGCTGAGGGTCCATCTATATGTCAATGACTCCAAACTTAGATCCCCTGTCCAGAACTCTCCCCTGACCCCAGGCCCATGTTTGCTCAACAGCTTCCCGAGATGCCGCATTGGTGAGTCAGGCTCGACAAGTCCAAACGGGGCCGAGCTTCCTCTCACGCCCGCTCTCCAGCACACGCCCCGCCTCGTTCTCCAGCCGCTCGGGGCGGAGTGCTCGGAGTCCTTCCCGAGTCCTCTCTTACACCCCACATCTGCCCTGTGGGCAAATCCTGTGTCACCACCTTCAGAGTCTGACCCTCCTCGCCACCTCCGGGCACCAGGGGCTCTCACTGGACTGTCACTGACAGTCTCCCAGATCGCCTCCCTCCTTCTGGCCTGCCCGTCCAGGGTCTGCAGCCGTGGGACCTGTTACCGCAGTGGCTTCTGTCCCACCCAGAGTAAAAGTCAGGTCCTTGCGGTAGCCTCCAAGGTACCACACGTTCACCTGTCGCACCACCTGCTGTTGCCCGCCCTCCCGCAACTGCTTTCCATGAGGGAAGGAACTGGCCTTCACCGTCAAGCCTTACTGTTAGTGCTTTGGCTTAACTGGAAAAGGTGAGTTTTTTTTTCTGAGACAGAGTCTCACTTTGTTGCCCAGGCTAGAGTGAGTGCCGTGGCGTCAGCCTAGCTCACAGCAACCTCAAACTCCTGGGCTCAAGTGATCCTCCTGCCTCAGCCTCCCGAGTAGCTGGGACTACAGGCATGTGCCACCATGCCCGGCTAATTTTTTCTATATATATTAGTTGGCCAATTAATTTCTTTCTATTTATAGTAGAGACGGGGTCTCGCTCTTGCTCAGGCTGGTTTCGAACTCCTGACCTTGAGCAATCTGCCTGCCTCGGCCTCCCAGAGTGCTAGGATTACAGGCGTGAGCCACCGCGCCCGGCCTTGAAGTGTTTCTAATAAGCTCCATGCGCCTCTCCCTGGCAACAGCCCTGTACGCACTGTGCACCAGGTCAGCCCCGGCTCGATGTGCTCCGGCGACCTCAAGCCCTGGCCAACAGTGAACACTGATGCCCGCTTCTTTCTGAAAGGGCCACCTCCATTTTACCCAGGACATGTAAAAGTACATCTTTCAAAATATCCAGCATTAAAATACAGATTTCTCAGCCTGTGCAGTGGCCCAGGCCTGTAATCCCAGCAACTCTGGCCGAGGTGAGAGGATTGCCTGGGCCCGGGAGTCAAAGGTGGCAGCGACAGAGCAAGACCCTGTCTTTGAAAACGAACACGGATTTCTCCGTGGGAAGGTCTGCACAGACGTCGAATGAACTCAAGTATGCGAGAAGCCACATCACTTCCTGCACTACTGGGCAGCATTTGCTCCCCGAGGATGGAGACGCCGAGGTGGAGACAGGGTAAGGTTTTCAAGGCCGCACAGCTGCGAACAGAGAAGCCAGGAGCGGAACTCGGTTTGTCAGGTTCCAAATTGAATTTCCTCCGCTGCACTGCCTCAGTCAGGGCCTCACAGCGCCCAGCGTGGTTCCCCGGGACGGAACAGACCAGGATCACCCCAGCAGAAACCTTGGTGGCACCTCTCGGTCTGGTGCCTGCCCCAGCCTGCGACCTCAGGCCCCAAGGAGAGTAACTCAGGGTGGCTTTCCTCTCTCCCTCTCCTCAGTGCTGACAGAGGCAAAGAAAAGAAATTGGGAGTGGAAGGTTCTGGAAATGAAATTAACCAAGCCATTATCTGGTTGAGCTCTGTGGAAATATAGAAATGGTGTTCTGGAAAACTATCTGTTTTGCTTAAGTTTTTAATCTTTCCCCTTACAGTAAAGTTGTCTTTGAAAAAGGTGCGTCTTTGTTTCAGTGAACAAAGGGAAAAAGAGGCGCCCCTCACTGTGACCAAGCTGGGCAGGCCAGCAGGAGCGTCCCAGAGGCACTGCTGCCCACTCAGCCTCTTGGCCTGAGGCGCTGGACAGAAGGTGCCCAGGCTGGGTTCTTTGCAGAGGTTCAGGTGGCCCATACTGGGCGGGAGATAGGGAGGTGGAAGGAATGCTCTTCTTTGCTGTGAAGTCACTCACTGGATGAGTGTTAATGAAAGTTTGGCGGGCGTGGTGGCTCACGCCTGTAATCCTAGCTCTCTGGGAGGCCGAGGTGGGAGGATGGCTTGAGCTCAGGAGTTCGAGACCAGCCTGAGCAAGAGCAAGACCCCGTCTCTACTAAAAATAGAAAAATTAGCCGGGCATGATGGTGCACCCCTGTAGTCCCAGCTACTCAGGAGGCTAAGGCAGGAGGATCACTGGAGCCCAGGAGTTGGAGGTTACAGTGAGCTACGAGATGCCACTGCACTCTACTTGGGGTGACAGAGCAAGATTCTGTCTCAACATAAAAGAAAAGAAAGTTTTGGGTTGCACTGATGAAGAGGCCACTGCCTCGTGCACATTCTCCCATCCAAGTGCTAAGCAGGCCTGACTCTGCCTCTGAGAGCACAGGAGCCCGGTGGGTTCAGGGTGGGGTGGCTGCAGGCCATTCTGACCAACAGTGAACCAGCCAAAGAGGACAAAGCAGACCCCGCAGTAAGGATGAGCACAACGATTGCGGCAGCAAACACGCGAGCATGCTCACTGCGTGCGGGCCCCGTGCTGCGGCCTTACGCCCGCTAGCTCCTTTAGTCCTCATGGCAATTCCATGAGGTCGGAAACAGGAGCAGAAAGTTTAAAACCTACCGAGGGCCACAAAAGCAGTTGCAGCCCCAGTTGCTAGTGACCTGCTCTTTCTAGGTCTTCCCAAGCAGGTGGGGCCTCATGGCTCCGGGGAAGTCAGGGCCAGCAGGCCGAGGAAGGGACCTAACCAGGCCCCACCCCGCACTCACCTGTCACGCCCACGGCGGAGGCGGGGCCCACGCGCAGCCCCTCGCGGAGCCCGTACAGGTGCATCTTGTACTTGCGCCCGGGCTCCAGGCCGCCCACGGTCACCGCTCTCTCCTCACCCCCGACACGCACCGCCTGGGGCCGCCCGTCCCTGTCCTTGTACTGGATGCTGAAGGAGTCGAAGTGGCCCTGGGGGACGGTCCAGGAGAGGCTCAGGGAGTCCGGGGATGACGCTGTCACAGTCAGCTCCCCCAGGAGCGGCTCCTCCAGGGGCTCTGGGGCCTCCGTGCTGGGTTCTGGGGGGCTGGGGGTCTCCTCCACACTCTCCTGAGGAGCTGAGAGAAGGGGGTACAAGCTTAAAGGTGACTTGCTTGCTGGTGCCGTCAGTAGAGGACATGCGTTAGATATATTCCTCACGCTGCAGGCTTGGGGCTTGCGTAGCCTTTGTATCAGCCATTGGGGCACTCATGGATGGAGAGGGCTGAGATAACCCCAGCCCCATCCTGTACGGCGAGTTCTTGGGGGCAAGGAGTCTCCCTGCATATCTGAGACAGGAGAGGAGCCTCTGCGGATTCTGCACCGTGTTCAGTGACAGTGCCGACCTACCTGCGCTTCCCCAGCTCTGGCGCCCGCCCGTGTCCTGGCCGGAGTGCGCTGAGGCCTCCCCAGGCAGCGCTGCCTTCCCTCCCCTTTAACCCTAAGGAACAAATTGCTAAGGCAGGGCCGATTGGGGAAAAATTCAGGAGGGGGGGCCTTTGGGAGCTGGGGAAAGGCCCTGGTTTTCCCTGGCTGGCTCTGGCCCACGCCCCTGTGGGCACCCACCACCATCCCTGCTGAGGCTCCGTGGAGTGGGGAGGGCACAGGGAAGCCTGCCCTTCTGGGACCCACCCCTCAGCCCATGACGACTCTGCGATAGGAAATGGAGGAGGCGACAGGCACAAATGATAACCCAGGCAAGGATGGGGAAAGCAGGGAGGAGCACAAAAGGTTACTGGGAAGTGAGAGAGTCAGGAAGAAATAGCAGCTCAGTCTCCAGTGGCAGATTTGGGGCATCATGTACTATTTTAAGTGCTGCATGTGTATCAACTCATTTAACCCTAACGACTCTGTATAGTGGTAAGCATTGTCGTCCTCATTGACAGAAGGGAAGGCCGAGGCACAGGAAGGTTAAGTAACTTGCACAAGGTCCCCCAGGTAGTGAGTTGCAAAACTGGTAGCAAGATTCAGGGAGGTGGCTCTAGAGTCTGCTCCCCACCACCACGTCACATGATCTCTTGGCAAAGAATTCACAGGCCCTGGAGATGGCCCTGGATGGGAGGGGCTGGGGACATGGAGGAGCAGGTTGGGATACTGTGCTGAAAGCGACCTTTGCCCCAGTCCCAGTGGGGGAGCTGGGGCCTGGGGGAGTCCTTCTCTCGCCCAGAGGCTGGGGAGACGTGGTGCTCTAGTCCCTGCACCTGATCTGCCACCTGTGAACAGAGCAGCAATGGCAGGAGGGTGTGGGGGCAGGTGACAAAAGCTCAGAAGTGGCCACAGCCTGAGCTACATACGCCATGATGTAGCCCAGTAAAATCTGTGGGGCGAGAGAACACAGTGCCTGAATGGTGAGGACACCCGTGGGGAGGACGGAATAGGGCAGAGGGATACCTCCAGGTGCTTGGAATGGAAAACTGGGACCTGCCTTGGGGATGGACAAGCAGGGCTGGGAAAGGACAGAGGAGCTGAGGCTGGACGGGGACAGCAGAGCAGTGGGGAGGACGGGAGGTGCTGGGGCAGAATGGGAGCAGAGGAGGAGGAGGAGGAGGAGGAGGGGCTGGAAGGAGCCTGGCCCAGGTCTGGCTCACAGGCGGGAGGCCAGCAGGGGCAGGGGAGGCCTGCGCAGCCCTGACTCACCCGTCTTGGCCACCAAAGACACGGGCCCCACACGCTGCCTGCCACGAAGTCCGTAGAGGTTCATCTTATACTTCCGGTCGGGCTCCAGGCTGGGGATGGTGACCTCGTTCTCATCCCCCTTGACAGGCACTTCCTGGGGCTGCCCCTGGGCATCCTTGTACTGGACCATGAAGGAGTTGAAGGGGCCCTGGGCCACCGTCCATGACAGGCGCAGCGAGTCTGGGGTCACGCCGGTCACAGTCAGTTCCCCCAGGAGGGGCTGCTGGGGCGATTCAGGACGGGGAGGCTCCTCTTTCCTCTCTGGGGCTGTAAACAAGAGGCTCCAGCCAGGTGCTGAACTGGCAGCCTGGGATTGGGGCTGGGGTTTGGAGGGATGTCACAATGTCACATGAGGGGTGTCACTATTTGATTAGTGTGAGTGCAAAACTCCAGGGAAGTCCGGCACAGCCAGGGCGTGACACACCTGGGCTGCCAGGAGCTGCTGAATGGGGCCGGCGGGCCCAGCCAAGTGGGGGAGCCTGGCTGCCTCTCCGCCCGCCCAGGAGTGGGGCCAGGATGCCCAAGTCAACCATCCTGCTGGGGTCCGGCTGGTTTCTGGCTGAGGGTGAGTGTGCAGAGGGCTGGGAGAGGTCACGTGGGCTGAGGTGGCTGCCACTCACCAGTGGTGCCATCAGCCGTGAGGGGGCCATACCGCTTCTTCTTGGCAATCCCAAACAGAGTGAATCTGTACTTGTGGCCAGGGTCCAGCGGGGAGATAATGACTGAACGCTCAGGCCCTTCCACAGGCACCACCTGGGGCCGTCCATCTCTGTCCCTGTACTGGGCCACGAAGGAGTCGAACTGGCCCTCGGGGACGGTCCAGGAGAGGTGCAGCGAGTCTGGCGTAGGGTCTGTCACCCACAACTTTCCCAGGCGGGGTAGGGTTCCTGGGCGTGGGTCACTCTGAGGCACTAGGAAGAGGGGGACAGAGAGAAGGGAGGGTCATAGGTCACAGGAGAAGGGTGATCCCATCTTGCACATAGGGATGCCGTGTGAGGCTGTGCAGGCAGTTCACCGCACGAAGGTGCGCTGTGAGGGAGCAGAGAGGGACTAGACCAGCCGGCATTCTGCTAGCCGAGCTGCCCTGTGCCCTGGTGAGGAGCTGTGTCCGAGAGGAAGGCTGCCCTCGCCCAAGTGACACAGAAGCACTGTGTGGCCTGCTGCGGCCCAGTCTGTCCATAACCCAGGAGCAGGGAGGAGCTTCAGAGACGGGGGACCAGCCAAGCCCGTCCACGTCTCCACAGTCAGGAGAATCTTCCCCGTACAACCTACGCTGCTTCCAAGCTTAACTACTCACTGGTTCCCTCCAAGAGAGGACAGCACAGTCGCTGAGGCGCTCCGATGCAGGACAGCCTCCCACACCTGTGCTCCAGGCCTCTCCTCCTCCTTGGGAACTTCGGCCCGTGGGTGACTCCCCACTCTGCACCACTGCCCCTTCCCCCCAGCAGCTGTGCCATCAGCATTTAAACAAGCTCCTGTGCCCCCACCCTGCCCCAATCCCGTGCGCATCTCCCTCCAGCTTCCCTCTTTGCTATTTCCAGCCCAGATTCCAGAGAGCGATGTCTACACTGCTGCAGCCATGTCCTCATCTCCATCACCCTCCCAATCCAGCTCCACCCTCCATCAGGCGGCTCTCATGGGGCCAGTGGTGCCCTTGCCATTGCTAAGTCTGTGGACACTCTATAGCCCTGAATCACTCTTCTGGAATCGACAAGCCTGACGGTGCCCTCCTGCGTGGTTCTGCCCCTCCCTGCAAGTGGCCCCCAGGCTGCCCCGCAGGCTCCTCTTCCTCCGCTCAGCCCAGGCTTGCAGCGGCCCTGCCTCTTCCCCCACCCACACTCTCACCCTGGCTCCTGTCCGCTGGCACTGGTGACACCACGGTCCCCTGTAGGCCTTCTCTCCTCTCTCCAAACCCAGAAGGCAGCAGAACCCCGAGGCCCCACCCCTTCCTCCTCTCTGCCTGGCTTCTCATCTGTGAAGCGGGCTGCCTCCCAGGTGTGCTGTAAGGGGTGTGATGACCTGTGCTTAGAGCGCCTGGAATACATCTGACTCTCCTTAAATGCACGAAACACGCTTACCTAGCGTTCCACACCATGCTGTCCCCTCCCTGCTGCTCCTTGCCTCGGAATGGGAGTGTCTGATTCAGAGCCACGGGGACTGCCTGGGCCCCTCACTCTCCTTCACCCCCACACCCCGCCCCACTGCCACCGTCCCAGCCAAGCCACCACCATTTCTCACCAGCTCTTAACTCACTTCCCCGGCTATCTCTGCAGCAGTCACAGTGCTATTTGTAAGATAAATATCTAGTCATGTCGCTCTCCTACTTAGCCCTTCGGAGGCTTCTAGGGCCCTCAAATGAGACCCAAGCCCCTCAGCATGGCCCGGGAAGCCCTAAGCCCTTCAGCTCCCCATGCGCCCTGCTCTCCAGGACACTGATGTCCATCCTCCTGCGGCCACACTCTTCTGCCTGCCCACCACTAATTGTCTTTAGCACTCAGCTCATGCACCGCTGCCTCCAGGAAGCCTTCCTGGAGCTCCTGAAGAAGATTCCCAAAGTACTGGGAAGACCTTCAGGGCGGTACTGAGGGCAGAGGGTATGACTGCTCTCACTCACGGATCTTGGCTTCAGCCACCAGGGGGCCGTGCCTCTTCTTGCCAACGAGCCCATACAGGACAAATCTGTACTTGCGGCCCGGGTCCAGGGAGGTGATGGGGGCCGAGCGCTGGAGCCCCTCCACAGGCACTACCTGGGGCTGGCCGTCCCTGTCCTTGTACTGGATCACAAAGGAGTCAAACTCGCCCTCAGGGACCGTCCAGCGCAGAAACAAGGAGTCAGAGGTCGTGTCCGTCACCGTCAGCTCACCCAGGCGTGGTGGACCTGAGGGCTTCCCAGGCTTCTCCTCATCCCTGTCTGGGATTTGGGGGACAAAAAAACACAGTGGACTCACCCATTTCCTTGTCCCCAGCCTCCTTCCCTCTCCTCTGCCCACCTCACCCCATCCTGGACAGCTCCCTCCCTGGAAGCCTCTGTTTCCCCGCCCCTCAGCCCTCTGTGACCAGCTCTCCTCCTCAATCTCTGTTCCTTCCCTTGCGACAGTTTCTCCACCCTCACAAGGCCTAGCCTTCTGCGAACGGGATCTCTGGGGGAGTTTAGGTCCCCTGTGGTTCTGCCTGAAATATTCGAGCCTCCTTGCTGCTGCTTCAGGGCAGTCTGAAGGCTCCTCGCCCGCCTGAGCCGCACTCAGCCCTGCCACCATCTCTCCCGGTGGTGAGCCTGACTTGGAGTTAGGCAGAGATATGGCCACCCTGGTACCACAGAGAGGAAATAAGAGGGGACGTGAGAGCAAGGCACTCCAGGCCCGATTCTGCACTGGTCTTGCCAGCCTCACCCACCTCAGAAGTCCTGCTGGCTGTGGACCCCCTTCCCCAAGGACCAGCAAACACTGGCTGGGACCATGGGGTGCTGTCCACTGCAAGCCTGGCTCCCAGGGAGGAGGTGTCAGGGGCTGAGCGTCAGGATCCAGAGGCCTTCTCATGCCCACTCTGAGAGATCCACAGGACAGGGTAGGGCAGGGGAGAGACCAGGAAGTGGGCACAGGATGTGAAGCAAGGAAAGCTGCAGGGGAGGACCAGAGGCCTACAGCCTCTCCCTTGAATCCCCGGCCCACCCTCAGACTTTTCTCCCCCCGCCTTCCTCCCCCCTCCCACCCCCATCACTGTTCTAAGGTTCTCCCAACCATCTTCCCTCTGAACCCACAATTCTTTTCTTGTTTTCTCCTATCACCCAGACCCAAATGTCAGCCCTATCCTCCATTGCCCCTCGATATCCATCCCACCTCTCAAGACCTGATAGCCCCAGCTCTTCCCCCAGTCTCAGGACATTGGTCTGAGCAGAGTCCAAGATGTACCCATAATGCCTTGGTAGATGATGGGGTCAGAGGGCTTGCCCCCAGGGGGGACCCCACGAAGGGACAGCTCGTAGGGGGCCCCAGGAGGAGGTGGGGGCACCAGGGCCTGGCGGACGTCCCCTGGCAGCAGTTCCTCGTGTGTCCCTGGCCCCTCGGGTACCCGCAGGTGCAGCTGGAAGTGGGCAAAGGTGTTGGGCTGGGCAGTCCAGGCCACATGGAGGCGCCCTGTCTTGTCTCTGCCCAGCACCTTCAACTCTCCCAGTTCTTGGGGGCGCTGCTGCAGGAGAGGGGCCTGGGCCCCTTGGGTCGTTGAGGGGCCTGAGGGAGGAGGCTCATCGGTGGCCCCCAAGAGGCCTGGGGGTGAGGACCCTGGGAAGGGAGAGGGCGAGAAAAAGAGGAGAGTCGAGTGTGAGAGCCAGAAAGGAATCTTCAGTTCCGAGGTTCTGCCCTCCAGCCTAGAAGGGCTTAGGACCTTCCCTTTTCTACACCCCAGTCTACCACCTGTGCTGCCCCACCTCCGGAAGGTCTGCCAGGCCTCCCGACACCCCCGCACGCCACTGAACAGGCAGGCCTGCGCTGAGGGCAGGCAACACGTGGAATACATAAAGCCTGCTGTCCCTCACCCACAGGCTTCTATGACCTCCGTGCCTCCCCACACATCCCCCTGCCCCCGTGGTGGTCGGTGGGTGGCTCCCGTTAGTGCTGCAGTGGAAGCCTGGAAGAAAGGCGGAGACAGTGGTGTTAGGGAGGAGGATGCAAGAGGAGAGTGGGCAGTGAGAAGAGAGGAAAGAGGGCGTGGGGCGGCCGTCCAGTCAGGTGGCATCTGGCCCTACGAAGGAAGAAGAGGTCCACCACCCTCCCACAGCAGCCCAGAGCCCTTTCCCCAGGCCCGGACGTCGTTCCTGTGGGAGAGACCAGCATAAAGTGAGCCAGGAGGTGTGAAAAGGCAGCTCAGGAAGCAGTGGTTCCACCCCTGCATGCTGCCTGATGGCATCAAGGTCATCCCCAAGCAGTTCTGATGTGTCCCTTCAAGGTCAAGGCCAAATTGTGGAAAACAGTAACCACTGACCACAGTCTTCAGCCACCCTTACCAAGTGAGTCAGAGTGGGATTCACTGGTTTCAGTCCCCACCCACTCCAGCTGCTCCAGGGAACCTTTTCAGGTCCTCCCGGCCACCGCCCAGAACAGCAGTCCCGGCAGGAGTGCCCTGGGAATCCCCAAGACGAGGCTGCCTTGGCCTTAGGTATCCACAGGATGAAGCCAGGCCCGTGGGAGGGGCTTCTAGGGACACAGGAGGGCTGCTGGGGGGGGGGTCCCTGCAGCCGGGGCCAGGCAGGGCCCGAAGGGAGAACGTGTGGTGCAGCGTGGCGGTCCGAGAGGTGAGGCAGTGGGAGGAACTCATGGGGCTCCAACGGCAGGTGAGGCTGGACAGAGGATGGGTGGTCCCGCAGCCCCAGCCCACGCTACCTGTGGTGGTGATGAAGGCGTAGGACTTGGAGGTCTGCCCCGCCCGCACCCCGTGGACCTCCACGTGGTAGGTGGTGCGGGGCTTGAGGTCGGGTAGGCTGACGGTGCGCGCGGTGCCCGGCACGGTCAGCTCAGCGCCGGGGCCCTCTGCGGGCGGCTGCGGCCGCCAGCGCAGCACCACGCGCTCGAACTGGCCGCGGAGCCCGTCCAGAGACACGAGAAGCGCGCCGTCGGCGGAACTGCCCAGCACCTCGGGCTTGGGGTGGCGAGGCGCAGCCACCCGGTCGACGCCTTCCGGCGAGAGGCCGTAGATGCCCTGGTTGGAGTCCCGCTTCCTGGTGCCTGGATCAGAGCTGGCGGTGGGCTGGGGGCGACGGGGCGGAGGGGCGGGGGAGCTGGCGGGGGCGGCGGCCGCCAGGCGCCGCTGCAAGTATTCATGGATGTGGCGCGCCACCGACGCGTAAGTCTGGTTGGCCCGCAGTGGGTAGCCGTGAGCCCGCAGGTGGCGCTCCAGGTCCTGCACCGTGCCGCGGAAGCGGCCCAGCTCGGCCGTCAGGTTGCCCCACGGCCGCCGCGGGGGTTGGGGCAGGCTTGGCCCGGGCCCGGACGCCTCCCCCTCCTCTGCGGGCCGCGAGGGCCGAGGGGGCTGTGGGGGCCGCGGGGCTGGGGCCGGCCGGGGCCGGGGCCGGGGCTGGGGGGGCGGGGCTGGGGGGCGCACCTCCGGGTAACTGTAGTGGCCAGGTGCTGCCAGGGCGAAAAAGGGGAGGAGAACAGGTCAGTGGCAGCTCCTGCTGCGCTCCTCCCCACGGCAGCCCTCCCTCTATCCCTCCCAGCAGAGCCAGGGGCCTCTTCCCCGTGCCCCGGCTGCACCTGGAAAGGGAAACGCCAGAAATGAGTCAGCGTCCCGGAGCGCCCCCTACCCTCGCGGAGCCCACCACTGCGGCTGCCCTAGAAAGAAGAGAGACGCCAGCGGGCGGGGCCCTGGATCTGAAGGAGAGAAAGGGGAGGGGTAGAGAATGTGAGTTACTGCAAGGTGGGCGTCCCCCTGTCACAGGGAAAGAAAAGAAAGATCCAGGCAGCTGTTAAGAAACCTTGAGGGTTAGTGGAAAATTACTGCTTGAGACCCAACTCCCAGCAATCCCATTCCTAAAGTCAACGGGACTGATGATCTCTGGGCTGCCTAATTCCAGTCCCCGAAAGATCTGTCCGCACATGGCCTGTCCTTGTACCTAAATTTAGATAAGAACCTCCTTCATCTGCGTGGACTATACAGCATCTCCTACTCACTACTTCTCTCCCTGGGCCAGTTCCTCCCAGAGTCAGACCTGCAACCTGCCTTCGGGTCAGAGCAAGGCCCCCCAGGTGCTTGAGACCGCTGGGCACCCTGTCCATGCATTCAGAGAAGCCCGCGAGCCGAGGGCTGGGCTCCCAAGGAGGGCTCCACACCGTGGGATCCAGGGCCCTTCTTCCCCAAGCTCTAACCAGCCGTACCTGTGTTGGCCCTGACAGAAGTCGGGTAGCTGACTGCTCGGCCCCTCTCTGCTGTGACAGTCACCACATACTCCACGCCTGGCATCAGGTCAGTCAGCAGTGTCCTGTCTGCTTCAGGGGGCACTTCCAGCCGCACCCTCTGGTTGCCAGCGCTGACATAGGACACCACAAATCGGTCCACCTCGGCCTGAGGACGCAGCCAGCTGAGCTCCAGCGTGGTTGGTGTCACAGCCACCACTCGGAGGTCCTGGGGACCGTCGATCACTGGCCGGTTAGAAAGAGGAGGGCTCAGGTGGGTGTCAGCCCCCTCCAGCCCTCCCCCTCCCTCTCCTGCAGGGCAGATTCCCTGGCCAGTCCAGATCTCCGCCCAGGCCCGCCCCACAGCTCCAGCTCTCACTAGTGGTGATGGTCTTGGAGGCAGGAGGGCCCCAGCTGGTCCCGCGAAGGGCACGGACAGTGACCTGGTACTCCTGGCCGGGGGCCAGTCCTCTCTGGTCATAGGCTGAGGCAGAGCTAGGCACCCGTGCGGTGAATGGGGGGCTCGCCCCCTCTGTCTGTGAGAGAGAGCAGCAGGTGGCTCGGGCGGGCACTCTGGCCCCTGCCGCTCCATCCCCCTACCTCTTTCTCCAGTTGCAAGTCAGCATGGGGCTGTGTGGAACTTGGCCCTGCACAAGCTGGGGAGCAGGGCAGTAACAGGAAACACTCTAGGGCACTCTCTCTGTGCAGGCCACTGTTCTAGATTTATGTATATGAACTCACTTAATTCTCACAATGACCTATGAGATAGGTCCTATTAGTCCCATTTCTCAGATGATGAAACTGAGGCAAAGAAGGATAAATATCCTGTTAAGGTCACCAACACCAAGAAGGTAGCAGAAATTTAAGCCCTGGCAGTGTGGCCAGAGAGTCTCTTCTCACGGACACTTGCCAGAATTCCACCTGACATGCACCAGGACTTGCCCTCTGACCTTCCCCCAGCCACCCAGACTGCCTAGGCGTGAGGAGGCGCAGCCTAAGCCCATTCCTCTCGGGACAGATGCAGTGGACTAGGGTTCCCTGCAGGCCTCGCTTCTTCCTTAAAGCAGCTGCTCAGCCTGAGCCCCCACGGCTGCCGGCCCCTGGCCGTGCAATTTGAGTGTGACCTGTGTCACAGCATTTCCTTTTAGGGACATTTCTTGTCTCTTCAGCAGGTTTGTAGGCTCCTCAAAACAAGGCCCCACCTCTCAAATTTCCACAAAGATGTTTCCTGATTGCTGATTTTGTGCTTGGCATCATGCTGGGCATTGAGACACAAAAATAAAAGATTGGGTCCCTGTGCTTAGCTAGCTTACACTCTAGTAGCGAAACGTATGTGTGCGTCTCCAGTTGTATAGACACTTACATAAATCTCTGTGTAGCGATGTCTGTGAGGAAGCAATGCTACTGCAAGTGCAGTGTAAGGTACTGTGATTAGGTGTGGGGGCCCTGAAGGAAATCTGCTAGCCCTGCTCCAGGCGGAGTCTCCCAGGGCGCCAGCCGCTGGGGAAACACGAGGAACTGGACGTCTGTGAGCGTCCTAACAGCCCCGCACTTTGCTGGGCTGTCTGGCTAGGAGAGCCACTGAGGACACTGTTCTGCTGAGCTGTGTTGGCCGTGACGGGGCCGCCTCCGTTCAGCCAAGTAAGATTGGAAATTTCAGAAGGTACTCTCCTGGCCGGGCGCTGTGGCTCACGCCTGTAATCCTAGCTCTTGGGAGGCCGAGGCGGGCGGATTGCTCAAGGTCAGGAGTTCGAAACCAGCCTGAGCAAGAGCGAGACCCCGTCTCTACTATAAATAGAAAGAAATTAATTGGCCAACTGATATATATATAAAAAATTAGCCGGGCATGGTGGCGCATGCCTGTAGTCCCAGCTACCCGGGAGGCTGAGGCAGGAGGATTACTTGAGCCTAGGAGTTCGAGGTTGCTGTGAGCTAGGCTGACGCCACGGCACTCACTCTAGCCTGGGCAACAAAGCGAGACTCTGTCTCAAAAAAAAAAAAAAAAAAAGGTACTCTCCTAAACCGGGAGGACTGCAGGGAAGTCAACACAGTAAATCCCAAAGTATAAAACCAGATGAGAAGGCCACATAGAGATTTCTGGGTTGAGGGTGAAATGGAACTTTGTCAGTTTTCTGGGCTGAAAAGGTTCCTGGGCATACAGGACCCCCATCCCTCTCCTATTCACCCTGCCCTAGGACACCCCAGCCTAGGAAGCTTTGGATTGGCCTCAACTCAAGACCCATGAAATCTGTCTGTCTGTGCTTCTCCTCTTTATTCCCCCAGTGTCTATCCCTGGACGCTCCCTGCTGATGTCTGGTTCCTTCAGCGAGGCAGGCCTGTCCCCAGAGTGCTCCTTCTCCCTTCAGACCAACCCATTTATGTCCTTTAGATGCCTCTTGCTTCCTCCTGAGATCCATGTGGGAACAGTCCCCTGAACGTCTGTCAGCCTAACCCCTGTGTCCCAGCACCGTCTCCTGGTCTGGGGCAGGCCCTCTAGCCAGATGCTGGCAGCTGGCTCCGCCTCACAGCTGCTCAGTAGGTCTGGCAGAGTCTGGCTGTTTGTGTTTCTAACATGCTTCTAGGTGATGCAGCTCCAGGGAACACACTCTGAGAACCACTGAGTCAGAGTAACAATGCCACAAATGCAGGAGAGGAAGGACATTCCTCTTCTGCATTCTGAAAATAATTCCAGTAACTAGGTGTGTCCTCTGGTCAGGAATATCAGAGTTTGGACTTTGCAAGATAAGTGCTTCTGGGAAGGGGGAGGGGATGAGGCAGAGACAGGCTTCTGGGAAGATGGCAGCAGCCAGCACAGAGCCAGCTACTGAATATGGCCCATGCTAACAGAAATGCACGGAGCAGAAGGTACAATAATGCCAGGAGCCAGCCAGAGTGAGCAGAAAGCACGGTCTGAGGGTTGGCAGCCCAGGCCCAGGGGTATCTGGGGACCAATTTTATAGGGGCATCTTCCACACCCAGGCTCAGAAAGGACCCAGAATATGACAGAGGCCCATACCCAGAGCACGGCAGACGAGCTGAGAACAGGGCCCAGTGTGGCACAGGCTAGCTCCGTCCCACCCTGGCTCTGGGTGAGGAGGCCTCTGGCTCCCACTGGAAAGCAGCGGCCCTGAGAACACCCAAGAATGAGTTTATATTTATTTACTCAGACTGGAGGACAACTGCTGCCCTGAAAGCTCCTCTTATCTTAAGTGTTTATTTTAATTCTTTTCCTGAAGTTTCTTAGGAAGGTTCCTTTTAAATGTCCCACCCTGTCAAGATTAGAGCTATATAAATAATATACACACAGAAGAGAGTGGGAGAAACACTTAAAAACGTTAGCAGTGATTGTTTTAGTGCAAAGCAGCCAAGAATTTTTTTTCTTTTCTCTAGTTGCCAAATTTTTATCTCGTGATTAAATTATTTTTAAAACAACAACAAAAAAGTTTAAACAGAAGAAAAAATCCAAGCTGTCTTGGTTGCACCATAAAGGAGGGATGTCTTGCCTCTGCTTTGTAAAGACTAAGGAGAGAGAGAACATGTAGGGGGCTGGCCCGAGGTATGATGAGAAGAGCAGGCAAAGTGGGGTGAGGACGACAGCACCTCTGAGCTGTCCCTTTCTGTCCTAGTGCCTTCTAAGGCCTTAGGCCCAGGAAGTTATGTGCTTTTCCAGAGTCCTGGCTAGGCTGATGAACATGAGGGTGACACGGCCCACACCCTATGGCATTTGTGGGATGATTCAGGAAAACATGAGTTCGATGGAGAAAATGTCAGATGATTTGGAGCTGGGGAAATGGCCGTATCCTAAAAGCCCACTCCACTAAAGGGAGGTCCCCAATGAGAGGCCAGCCACAGGGCTTTGTCCTTACGGCGCTCCCCTAATGTTTTAAGAGTAAGTTGAAGAGAGACAGAGAAAAAAAGCTTTGCAATGCACTGATGGCGTGGAAGTGGGAGAACCAGTTCACAGACTCACAATTATTGCAACAGCATAGATAGCTTGGCCCAAACCAAAAAAGATAACACTGAGCAGAGCCAAATGCAAAGGCCTATATTTAGGCTAAAAAAGTGTATAGAGTTGAGTGTTGTTTCCTTCCCTCCCTTCTTTCCATATTTTTTCCTTGCATATATTTTCTAAATTTTCTGCACTGGCCTTATATGACTTTTATAATAAAAAGTTACTTAAAACAAAAATGACCAAAAAAGCTGACAGTTTGTGTGACAAGCTAATAATATATGCCAGTTCTGAGAAAAGTGCCAGTGAATCCAGAGTTAGCCAGTGGGCTCCTCGCTACCCCTAGATTTTGAGAGGCACATGAAAAAGCAGAAGGCACAGGACGGTGAAGGATTCAGAGAACAAAGAATTAAGGGAAAGGGGCAAAGGTGTCAGGGTGTTTGGCCTGGGATTCGAAGGGTGACCAGATGGCTGATGTCTCCAAATACCTGAAGGCCTCTGGTGTAGGACACAGGGAAAGCGAGAACATTCTAGCTGCTGGCCAGTGCCCAGCTGGGGCCAATAAGCACATATTGGAATGGGGGCAGATCTGGGTTCAGCAACAAGAGCTGGCTCACAGTGATGGCCAGCAAGGGACCGAACTGCCTCAGGAGGTGCTGAGCACAGTCACCAGTGTTTCCAGCGCATGGGGCCAGTGCTTGCTGGAGATGCTGCAGAGGCCTCTGTGCCCAGGATGTGAAGGCTTTCCAGCGGCTTCAGCAGCCCACCGTCTGGGCTCAACCACTGAGCATGTGGCCCTTTCTGGGGGAGGTGAGCTCCCCCTGCGTGCTGCCTACTCAGCCCTCTCTGGCAGCAGGGCATCTCCCTCACCGTGGGGATGAACTGGATTTCGTAGGCATCCACGGGGCCAGGAGCCCGGGTCCACTCCGTCCGAATGGTCGTCTCCTCCAGAAGGTGCATCCTCATGCCCTCAATGGCTGGCACCTCTGCCCAAGGGAAGGGGTAGAAAAAGCTGGTTAGCCCAAGGCAGCCACCCCCGATCGCGAACATCACAGTCCCCTTTACTCTCGGCTGCCCCAAGAGTCCCATCGATCTCCCCCTCCTCTCTGGTGGGGGGATAGGGTGGGGGAGAAGCTGACAGAGGCCTGAACGGGGCTGGGGGCTCCTTCACCTTTCCCCTATCTCCAAGAACAGAGTCTCCCCCAACGCAATTAGAGGGGTGCTCTGCCTGCTGCTCCTCAGAGAGCTGAAGGCCAGTCCTGCTCCCAGGGCTCTCCACTGCTGTGGGCACTGGCTCCTCCACCAACCTCCCTCCACTCCGCCTCCAGGTCCCTGGGCCCCTAGGCCTCAGGCTCAGGGCTTCCCCGTGGCTCCTGCTTCCAGAAACCTAGTCCCTGACCCAGCATAATGGGGAAGGCTGCCTGCTTACCTTCCCCGCAGTCCTCCCCTGCGTAGCCATGCTGGCAGACACAGCTGCCCTGGTGACACTCTCCCCTGCCTCGGCAGTCCCCTGGGCACGTCTGGATGGCACAGTCAGGGCCTTGGAAGCCCTCCACACACACACATTGGCCCCCCTGGCACAGTTCCCGAGGCCCGCAGCCCCCAGGGCAGGCGCTGGCAGGAGGCTCCTCCTGCCCGCAGTCCTCGCCGCGGTAGCCCGCGTGGCACACGCACACACCCTGCACACAGCGCCCGCGACCCCGGCAGTCAGCGGGGCAGCCGCGAGTGGCGCAGGTGGGGCCGGTGTAGCCTGGGTCGCACACGCAGCGCCCGTCCTCACAGTGGCCGCGTCCGTGGCAGTTGGAGGGGCAGGTGCGGACGCTACAGTCCTCGCCAGCATAGCCCTCCCAACACATGCACACGCCGTCCTGGCACCCGCCATGCTGGCTGCAGTCGCGCGGGCATCGCCTCACAGCGCAGTCCTCCCCCGAGTAATCCTCGTGGCACACGCAGCGCCCGTCTACGCACTGGCCGCGGCCTCGGCAGCCCCCGGGGCAGCTGCGCACGCTGCAGTCCTCGCCCGCGTAGCCCGCGTCGCACACGCACACGCCCTCCTCACAGCGGCCGTGCCCACGGCAGTCCCCGGGACACCGACGGCTGCCACAGTCCTCGCCGGTGAAGCCCGGGTTGCACACGCAGCGGCCGTCCACGCAGCGCCCGCGCCCGCGACAGTCACCAAGGCAGGCGCGCGTGCCGCAGTCCCGGCCTGTGTACCCCGGCCAGCACACGCAGCGGCCACTCTCGCAGCGGCCCCGGCCGCGACAGTCCCCGGGGCAGCTGCGCACGCCGCAGTCCTCGCCGCCGTAGCCCGCGTCGCACACGCACACGCCGTCCTGGCAGCGCCCGCGGCCCCTACAGTCGCGTGGGCAGGCGCGCGCGCCGCAGTCGGGCCCCGCGTACCCCGGCCAGCACACGCAGCGGCCGTCCTCGCAGCGGCCCCTTTGGTTGCAGTCGCCAGGGCAGCTGCGCACGCCGCAGTCGTCCCCGCTGTAGCCCGCGTCGCAGATGCATTCGCCGTCCTCGCAGCGCCCGCGGCCCCGGCAGTCGCGCGGGCACGTCCGCGTGCTGCAGTCCTCGCCGGTGTACCCGGGCCAGCACACGCAGCGGCCGTCCACGCAGCGCCCTCCCTCGCCACAGTCCCAGGGGCAGCTGCGCGCGCCGCAGTCCTCGCCCGTGTAGCCGGGGTCGCACGCGCAGCGCCCGTCCTCGCAGCGGCCTCTCTGGCTGCAGCCCCGAGGGCAGGAGCGCTGGCCGCAGTCGGCGCCTGAGAACCCAGCGCGGCACACGCACATGCCCCGCACGCAGCGCCCGCGACCTTGGCAGTCCCCAGGGCAGGAGGGCCAGCCACAGCTGGGGCCGGTATAGCCAGGGAAGCACACGCAGCGACCGCGGACACAACGACCCTGATCGTTGCAGTCGTCGGGGCAGGACCCGGAGGCTGAAGGTGGGGAGGAGGGGGACATCCCAGAGTCTTTGGGGTCTGAGCAGGTGGGCCCGCCCCAGCCTGGCTCGCAGGAACAGGCGCAGCGGCTCAGATCAAACACTCCATGAAGGCTGCAGAGACTACGCACATCTGTCTGACCTGGAGTGGAAGGGAGAAGCAGGCCTCAGTCTCTCTGGGAGGAGAGGGGCTGAGCCCATGTGGTGGTCCTATGGGTCAGCCCCCCCAGAAGGCCCAGCCTCCGTTCATAAGGCCATGCTGCTCCCAGCCTCTCTCGGCATATGCTTAGGCTGTCGTCTAGCCCAGCTCCACTTTCCAAATGGTGCTCTGGGCTGCACCCACCATCCCCGAGGGCAAGGAAGGGTGCCTTTTTCTAATTCATACCAAGGCCCCTTATGGATTAGCAGGGCCTACCCCACCCTAACCCACCTCTGGACCTTCCTCTTCTTCTGTGCCCCTCTTGTGACCGTCTGCTCACCTGTGCCAGCCTGGGCAGCTGCAGGGCAGCACCCCCCCGTGCACTGTTCCTTGAGCCCCTTCACCAGCTCCTCCAGGATCTCCAGCCGGACCCTCAGGGCCTGCACCTCTGAAGCAGGGACAGGGGGCTCAGTGCCCGGGGGACAGCCACAGCCAGCAGAAGGGGGCAGGTTAATACGGTGGGTGAATACCACCTGCTTCTCCCCTCCTTCCACTGTGTGCTCGTAAAGCTGAGAAGAGGGGCTTCCCCCTCCTGTCCCCACTGTGCGGCCCCCTGGCTGGGGAGGGGGCCGTGGGGCTGGGAGTGTCACATTGGACCTTGAAGAGAAGGGGCCTGCTCTGGCTGTGCCCAGCAGCACCAGGAGGGCCAGACAGGAGGTTAGAGGACGCTGGGCTGGCATCATTCAGGAGGCTGCAAGGAGAGAGGGCAGGTGTGAGTGCAGCTTTGAAAAGGAGACCCACGCGCAGAGTCCCACTGCCCACAACTAATCTACCCAACTCATATGTACGTAAAAATTCACATTCAGCCCAGCTCTAACGGAGACCCTCCCTGGGCAGCTCTGTTCTCTGACTGTCTTTCTGATATGATTTGGTTGTCCTGCCCCTCTTATTTACTGTGTCCCCCCACATTGGTCTTTGTTTCACAAGCACTACAAGCTCATACTAGCATAAGTGCCTTTGTACTGTATGTTCCCTCTGTCTGAGATGCTCTTCATTCAGCTCTTAAGGGCTGGCTCCTTCTTGTTCAAATCTTAAGTCACACGTCGCCGGGAAGCCTGCCTTATGCCCAGTCGGAGCAGTCTCCCATTACCCTCTATCACAAAATCCTGTTCATGTCCTCCGTGGCATTTATTGCTGCCTGAATTATCTCTTTATGGGCTGGCTTTAGCTCCATGAGATCAGGGACCTCATCTGTCCTGGCACTGCTGTAACCCTGTGCCTGGCACATAAATGCTCTGGACGCATGCATCCAACACGCCTATGCTGAACAAATTAGTAGATGGGTCTCCGGGCCCAATTCTTCCCCAAGCACCTGGATCCCAGCTCCTATTGTCTTCTAAGAAGCTTTGAGTAGATTATCTTTTATTGAATCCCTCACTCTCAACTAGATGCTTCCCATCAGCTTTCACATGAGCTCAATATCTCCTATTAAGACAAAAACGCCTCTTCTTCAGGACTTACATGGTCAGATATTAAGACTTATTATAAAGGTGCAAGTACAGATGGAACACAGTAGGGTCCAGAAATAGACACATGCCTATGTGGTCACCTGATTAATGACAAAGATACTGCTGCAATTAAGAGGAGAAAGGACAGTCTTTTCAGTCTCTATATGGAAAAAAAAGATCTCTATGTCCACATACAGAAATTAATTTGAGACTGATCAAGGACCTAAATATGAAAGGTAATGCAATATCTTTCACGACAATACCTTACAGAAGGAAAAAATAGGAGAAAACATTTATGAGTGTGGAGTAAGCAAAGATTTCTTAAGTGGGACAGACACAAAAAACCTAACTGTAAAAAAGAGATTGACACATTAGACCTCATTAGAATTGCCGACTTCTGGACATCAAATGACTTCATTAAGAGAATAACAAGGCAAGCCCCGGATGGGGGAATATGTGAGATACACACACACACACACACACACACACACACACACACACACACACACACAGAATTAAAACCTAAAATAAGGAATTCTATAAAACAACAAACAAAAGTCAGGAAACCCAGTTTTTTAAATTGGCAAAAGACTTAAATGGGTATTCCAGAAAAGAATATATCCAAAAGTCCAATAAGCATGAAAAGGTGCACAACATCACTAGTTATCAAGGAAATGCACATTCAAACCACAGTGGGAAGCCACCAAATACCCATGAGCATGGCTAAAATTGAAAGGGCTGTCATTGCTCAATATTGGCAAGAAAGTGTGGCCAGGTGCGGTGGCTCACGCCTATAATCCTAGCACTCTGGGAGGCTGAGGTGGGCGGATTGCTTGAGATCAGGAGTTCAAAACCAGCCTGAGCAAGAGCGAGACCCTGTCTCTACTATAAATAAAAAGAAATTAATTGGCCAACTAATATATATAGAAAAAATTAGCTGGGCATGGTGGCACACACCTGTTGTCCCAGCTGCTTGGGAGGCTGAGGCAGAAGGATTGCTTGAGCCCAGGAGTTGGAGGTTGCTGTGAGCTAGGCTGATGCCACGGCACTCACTCTAGCCTGGGCAACAAAGCGAGACTCTGTCTCACAAAAACAAAACAAACAAACAAAAAAACCAGAGTGAGACCTTGTTTCTACTAAAAATAGAAAAAAAAAATTAGCTGGACAACTTATAAAAGTAGAAAAAAATTAGCCGGGCATGGTGGCGCATGCCTGTAGTCCCAGCTACTCGGGAGGCTGAGGCAGAAGGATTGCTTAAGCCCAGGAGTTTGAGGTTGCTGTGAGCTAGGCTGACACCATGGCACTCTAGCCTGGGCAACAAAGTGAGACTGTGTCTCCAAAAAAAAAAAAAAGAAAAGAAAAGAAAAAGAAAGAAAGAAAAAAAAGTGATGTCATTTCTCACTTTTATGGCAAAAAAAAAAAAAAAAAAAAGAAAAAAAAGTGATGCAACTGGAATCCTCAACTGTTGCAAGTGGAAGCATAAATTAGTGCAAACACGTTGGAAAACTGTTAGGTAGTATCACTAAAATCACTAAAGCACATAGCCTATAACCCAGCAATGCCACTTCTTGGTAAATATCCCATAGAATGATGCATATATCCTCCAAAAGACTATACAATAATGTTTACGAGATTTGTTCATATTAGCCAAAACTGGTAACAACTCAAGTGTCTACTGATTATAGAACAGATAAATTAATCATTATAGTCATACAATGGAATACTATATAGCAGTGAAAATGCAATTTTGGTACATGCAACAACATGGATGAATTTCACACACATAACTCTGAGCAAAAAAATAAACCAGACACAAAAAGAGAATACTTTGTAGGCCAGATGTGGTGGCTCACACCTGTAATCCTAGCACTCTGGGAGGCCGGGGCAGGTGGATCATTCAAGGTCAGGAGTTCGAAACCAGCCTGAGCAAGAGCTAGACCCCATCTCTACTAAAAATAGAAAGAAATTAATTGGCCAACTAAAAATATATAGAAAAAATTAGCCGGGCATAGTGGCGCATGCCTGTAGTCCCAGCTACTTGGGAGGCTGAGGCAGGAGGATTGCTTGAGCCCAGGAGTTTGAGGTTGCTGTGAGCTAGGCTGATGCCACGGCACTCTAGCCCAGGGAACAGAGGGAGACTCTGCCTCAAAATACATACATACATACATACATACATACATACATACATACATACCTTCAACAAACCATTACCTAATCGTATACCCCCTCCAGCCACCATATATTTCTTTTTTCTACATCATGGCCACGGTTATCAGTTGTTTATCTGTACTTGATGTTTCCATTTCTCCATAGCCCATGCATGCCTCAATCCATTACCACCTGACTTCTGCATCCCCTTCAAGCCACCAAACAGCTGTCCCTAAGGTCTCCCAGTGACCTTGGTGTAACAAAATCTAAGGACTATTTGTCTTCATCCTACTTGACCTCTAAAAATCATCGAACACACCCTCCATTTTAAATCATTCCATATCCGTGCTGTCCAATATGACAGCCAGGAGGGACACGTGGCTCTGTGACACTTAAAATGTGGTTAGAATGACTGAGGAACCAAATTTTATTCTGTATTTTAAAAGCTGCCCAGATGATTATAATGTGCAGCAGAGTAAAGACCTGTGCCAGTCACCCACCTAGACCTTTACCCAGACTCACGACTTCAATTTCTAAGCCACAAGCTGCTTCGTAAAGCAGCCCGACCATCTCCTTCTCGCTCCACAGCGACACATCTGCCTGTCTGCTTGGCATCTTCTCTTGGACACCTCAAACTCAACATGTTTGAAACTGAACCCCATTCCCCCTCAGTGCTCCCCTTCACAGCTCAGGGCCCCACCATTCATCCAGCTTTAGGAAACAGGAACCTAACCGTCCATTCGATGCCACCGTATTTTCTTGTAAACATCTCTTTGATTCATTTCTTTCTCTCTCTCTTACCATAGTTCTGAGCTACCATCCACCTCTGGCTTGACAACTGCAGTTTTCTGCTTGCTGGTCCCTCTGCAATCTCACAAGGCAACCAGGACGCCCTCCTTAAAACTCTTCAGCATACCCCGCCCAAACAGCCCTATTGCTATCATCTGGCCCCTGCTGACCTCTGCCGCCTCATCTCCCATAACGTTGCCCTCCCTCTCTCTCCTCCAGCCCCAGTGACCTTCTTTACACCCCTCATACACGTGTGCTCCTTCCCACGCCCAGACCTGTGTCCATGCTGTTCTCTCCATGTGGAACGCTCTTTTCTCTTGGCCTCCTCATCCTTCAGGTCTCAGCCCCACATCACTTCCTCAGGGGAGCTTTCCTGACCAGGTCAGGTCCCCCCATCATGTGATATCACAGTGTTTATAACAATTTGTGATCATATATAAATGAATACATGGTGAGATTATTGTCCATTTTCAGTCTTGCCCACTGGACTGTAAGGTCCATGGGGGCAGGCATAGCACCTGTTTTTTTTTTCTTGGCTGCTATATTCTTGCATCTGGCACATAATAGATGCTCAATAAATATTTATTGACTGTATGAATGAATGAAAAGTCCAAGACTAGCATTAAGGCTGGAACCAAAGGCAGCACCAAGGTCAGGGCTAGGACCACGGACAGTGTCCGGGACTGGAAATGGGTTAGACACAGCAGCCGGGGCAGAGGCAGAGACCAGGCCAGGGCGGATCTTGGCAGGACCAGATGGTACAAGCATTTTGGAAAACTGTTTGGCAGAATCTACTAAATTTACTAAAGCCGAACATATGTAAACCTTATGACCCCAAAATTCCACTCCTAGGAATATATCCAACATAGCAGTACTGCTCATAATAGCTCCAAACTGGGAACTACCCAAGCATCTCACATCAGTAGAATGGATTAAATAAATTGTGGTTTATTCACACACTGGAATAAAACAAAGTAGGAACAAGCTACAATGATATGCAGTAGTGTGGTTGGATCTTACTAACAGGAAGCTGAGAAAAGAAGCCAGACTCGTAAGAGAATGTGCTGCATAATTCTATTCATGTGAAGTTTGAGGAGAAAGAACATTCATCTGTAGTGCTCCAAGTCAGAAGTGTGGTACCCCTGGGGAGCGGAGGCCAGACGGGGGTTGGGGAGTTCCAGGGTGCTAAGAGACCCTTGTTCCTTGGGCTGGGTGGTGGTTACCCAGTCGTGTGTGTGGAATTCACCGAGGCAAGGATTGGGGAGCGCAGGGGGCAAGGGTTTGAGAGGAAGGTCTCAGGGCACCC